TCTCTCTCTCTCTCTCTCCCGCTATTCAACCAACAGATGAAACAATTAATTAAAAACACATTCGCATTGAAATACACGTCAAAACAAAACACAAAAACATTAAACAAAACAATTATTTTATGAACAAAAAAGTGTCAAAACTTTTGTTTTGCACTCAAATAGAAATGACATTCAAATAAAACAATAAAAACACACAAAACATGGTATAAATTAAATTGAAATCATAACACATTGTGTGGTGAGAGGGGAAACAAATCATATGACTTTGTGCCCGATGTAATGTTAACCATATAATTAACACACATATTATACAAAAAACAATAAGGCTAACTTAATTACTATTTTAGCATCAACAAGTGGCAAATTAAAAAAATTACCTTGGTATATATTAGCACATCCGATGGTCACTAATCCAACACGATCAACGTACAACCATGCACCATTTAATTACCAATAATATTAATATTCATCCAGGTTCAAACAATGGTTCCAATGGTGATGATGGTGGTGGTGGGTAACCGAGTAAAATCACCATGTACTTTAACTCGCTCATTTGAATATGTTAAAAGTACTTCAACTAATAAGTGTGAACTGCATGGTTGAATTAATATTAGCAACAATTAATAAATGTACCATGTTAATTGTGCACGAACAATTGTAAACACAGGCACACGTTATCCATCGAGTTGTAAACATGGGAACAATTTTGAATGATAAGGCGCTAAACAATAGACTTTGTGTCAAATCACCATGGTTACCACTAAATACATATAATACGAGTCGCAGGGTATAGACGCTTAGCTATAGTAATATACAGGGATTTTCTATATAGGGTTTAATAGTTGTGTGATTTTTTGTGACGTTAGCCATGTTTTTGATTTTGTTTGGCAACATTTTGGCGCATTTCCATCGAGTTTGAAAACTATTATTATATTGATGATTATTGAGCTTACCATGGGTATTTGTATTATTTAAGTTATTATACATGTATTGGTAAAATAATTATTAAGATGCCTAATCATTTAGCAATTTTCCTAAAGTTCGAGTTATTTGAATAATAAATGAAAATTAAATACAATTTTATTGTTAAATAAATACTTTTAAAAATAGACAAGTAATGAATGAAAATGTGTGAAAACTTTATAATTCGCTGAATAATTATGATTACATTGAATATAGTGTTTAAACAAAACGAGTGAATTCTATGAAATATAAATATAAAAGTATATTTAAAGTATAAATCCAATGGATTTGTTAAGTAAAATATTATTGTAAAGGAATCCACTTATTCTGAAGCAATAGTTTTATTCAAACAAAAAGATTAATTTGTATTTCATTATGAAATAATAAACTATAAAATCCTTGTATTTAATGCAAATTGTTTCTGATTTTCAAATTTCTTGGCATTTGGTGTCCGACTGAGAGATTGTGAACATCTTTTTGGGATCTCTTTCCGTCCAAACAATGAAATCACTGATGAATTGTTTGCAATCGTTTTCGGAGCCATCCTTTAGTTCAATGGATGATAAGTTCTTCATCTCATGAATCGATTGACATAACAGTAAAACATGTGATATTTTGCTCAAATTTCTAATAAAAAGACACAATTTTCTAATTGAAGTGATTTTTGCGATCAAATGATATGTTTGTCGAAAACATGTCAAACAATTCTCATTTTCTCCATTGATCTCACATTTGATGGAATCGCTGATCATTTCAAGAGTCTTGAGAATTGGGAAACACTTGAGGAGAGACTCGAATTGGTATTCAGTCAACTGGTCTGGAATGAGACACAGCGTCTTCACTTTGAGGAATGAATTCGAGTGTCCATTGATCTCATTGTCGATAAATAGCGGACAAATTAGTTTCAAAAATACGAGATTTGACTGTTTTTGTGCCATACTTTGCAGGCAATGCCATTCATTTGTCGCTCCGTTAAAAAAATATCCGAATGCTTTCAAAGACATGCCATCGATAATGAGTTCCAGTGCTTCAGCCGTTACTTCAAAACGAAAATTAGTGAAAAAATACTCCAAATGTCGGGCATTTGTTGCCAACAATTGTGCCATTAATTCCATATCGATAACAATATCTGAATCGACCGATACTTCTAAGGATTTAATAGGTTTGGGCAAACATTTGAATAACTCTAAGATGTGTTGACTTTCTGTGAGACCTATTGATAATTTTGTGAGTCCTTTCAATTCACGGATCAATTGAATCACATTTTTGGATTGTTTGCAACAAATGGCCATAAATTGTGTGATTCTATCCGACAAGAGTTGTCCCAATTGTCTCATCTCTTGGTCTGTGAAGTCATCGAAACCGCATAAACACAACGATTTGATTGATTTAAACGCTTCGAGAATATCATTGAAATTCTGATAATTGGTTTCGAAGTGTCTGATTGTCACAAATTCAAGGTTTGGCAACTTCTGGGCCAACCATAAGATCCGCGCTTTACTACCGATAAGACACAGCTTTTCATTTGAATGCATCACAAGAAAACGTGTGGGAAATGAATATGAATTGGGAATCCTATCGTTCTTCGGATACTTCCAAATGACTGTTTGCGTTGAATTGAGTGCTAATGTCTTCTGTTGTCGGAACCGAATGTTTGCGCAAAACTGGAACTGTTGTGAGACTCTCTCCAGAGGTATCAACTCATGAAACTCCAGGTATGAGAAGATCTCGAGCAACACGTATTCATTCAAGACATTAGTCTTCAGAGTTTTATCACTTTTACTGGTTTTGGGATTCATTTTCAATTCAATGGCTTTCAATATTTTAACGTATTTTTATTTAAAAATTGAAACAAATTAACGGTTTTAATAATAGTTTCATTAGATTTATAACAACAATAAAACTATTTTCAATTTTTAATATCAATTAAAACAACTCATTATATTATTGATTAGTGAAAACTTTGATATTTAAATTTATCATATAACATTAATAACTATAATACACTCGGCATTTATCTTAACAATCACATAATAATAACAAAATAATGGTTGAAATAATCAATTCTTTCTGGTCTTCCAGAGTAGGCCTAAGTATGTGATGAAAAGGTAGGCCAAAGTCATGCCAGTCATGGCCAGGGAGTCGATGTAGAAGCTGTCGACTGTGAAATTCTGGGCCTCAATCACTTGCACCCCATTCTGGAAGCAAGTGTTGGTCGAATCGGGCTCTAAATTGCACGGAATGTCCGTCACTTCAATCCATTGCGTGACAACATTCGACTCATAGCCATAGTATATGAACGACAGGTATTTCGCCCAAACCAACCATTTAGGCACAGATCTATTCATTGGGTATAAAACGTTTATTTTAATGGTATATTTTAATTCGAGAATATTCTGTAATCATTAATAATTAAATTCTATTTTATAACATATATCAAAGTGTTTTACCCGGTGTTCACATAGAAACCACTCAACAGTACCAACGGGGAAATAAAAGCACCAAGCACAGTGCTGGCCATTTGAAATGTAGAACATAGGCTCGATATCGCATAACCTGGTAATTAAAGCAAATGTTATGTATGAATGTAAAAATATGACCATGGTATAATTACCAAAACTAGCAGCGCTGGTGCACATCAATACTGTGGTGCAAATAAATCTAAAAAACGCGGTCGCCGTCGGGTAGAAACCAATCATATAGTAGAGTAGAACCACAAAAACGATCGAGATTGTTATAAACATCAGGAACTATGGGCACAATTTAAAATTACTTAATACGATTCAAACGTGATAAACTATGTAGATTGTCATTTACCTGAATAATGACAGTGGCTATAAAGTACGGGAAAATAGCAAACATACGGTTGTGGTGTTCGCGACACAGGATAGCGGTGTCCATACAGAAGGTCTATTTGGGTTCATTACAAATACAGTTGTAGTTTTTAGGTTTGAAAATACTTGGTATTAATACACTTATTGTCAAAATAATTTAGCATAATTCTAATTAATAACAGATTATGGTTAAGTGACTTTTACCGTAATGGAAAGCATCATGGTCATCATAGCGTTATTCTGGGTAATTATATTGATCGCGCCGTTAATGTTTTGAATGCCGGCCAAATTAGCACCTTGTTTATAAAATATAGTACCCATCATTAGACCCATAATCTAGATAAAACAAAACACAATAATTATGATTGCAACAAAATAACAAATGGTAATTTAACAAAATGCTTACAATGGCCCGAAACAATTGACCACGCAAGAATCGGGGGTTACGTATGGTTAGCACATATGTGCGCCAGAATAGGGCCACCGATTGGCGAAAAACGCCCACTCGATAGTTGTCCGAACCGACGGCCACTTCAATGGCCTTAATATTATTGTTTGATTTATTTAAGGCCAACGTTTCGGCAGACATTTCTTTGCCGAAAGACGACTCTTGAAACTCGTCACAAATTGCCTGTCATTTTGTGAATAAAATTCAATTTTAATGAGTTTTTAGTTTTAAAAATTGTTTATTATGTTTACATTGACTTTCGTTTTACATTCGGCAAAATCCTCGGCTCTTATGGCTATTATTGGGGAAATTGTTTTAATTAGTATTTAATTTGTGTTATAATTATGCAAAAAGTGTGTGAATTAAATGCAAACCCAATTCATTGATGTAATAATCGGATGGATTGAAGTTTTTGGGACATAACTAATGAAATAGACATTTGAATAAATTTACTAATGCTATGAATATAAAGCTTTTAAACTCAAGTCTTACGTAACCGATGGACGAGAAAAATTGCTGCGCTTCGGCTGTAATTGTAATAAAATTAATTGTAATTTAACAAAAATGTTATATAATATTGAAGTAGAAATGCATTAATACATACTTCGTTTGCCCATAAAGGCAACCCTTCCGTCGGCCATAAGTAAGAGGTGTTCAAAAAGCTCAAAGACCTGAGACGAGGGCTGATGTATAGTACAAATTATAGTCCGTCCCTCCGATGCCATTGTCTTCAATGTCTGTACAATATTTTCGGCCATAAATGAGTCCAAACCACTCGTCGGCTCATCACTAATGCAGACAATTATCAGTGAATTGACGAAAAAATTAAATATAAGATATTTCTTACCAAAACATGAGTGAAGGATTTGTCAAAACCTTAATATAAAAAATATTTATTGAAAAATAATTAAAACTATTCAAAAAACAATGCAATCAAACCTCTGAAGCAAAGGCCAAGCGTTTCATTTCGCCGCCGGAAATACCTTTGAACGCAAATTTGCCCCCAATTTTAGTTTTCGCGCATTTCATTAAATTAAACTAAAATACAATTATAAACACATTATAAATAATCATCTAGTTCAAATAAATGATAAAATATGAACAAGTTTCATTACCTTCTTAATCATATGCTCCACGCATTCATTTCTCTCCTCATTAGTCAAACTGCCGTCCATTCGCAACAATGCCTTCAAATACATATGAATGCAATGACAAAACATATTAATTATTTAAATGTCATTAAATGTATGATTAATTACCTGAAAACTGAGATGTTCTCTGACGGTAAGCAACGGGTAAAACATGTCGTGCTGTTGAATATACGAGGAAATGGACGCCATATTCTCGGGACTGACTGCCTGTCCATTCAATAGCACCTCTCCGTTGACCGCAAGCTTTCCTAGATTTCTGGTCGTCAATACATTCAATAGAGTTGTCTTTCCGGCGCCACTGAATTCATTAGTTAATTATATGATTTAACAATTATTAATTGAAATCAATTACGATATGGTAAAAATAAATACCTGGAGCCCATAATAGCCAACAACTGGCCGGCCTTTACTTCACCCGACACTTAATGATGTAAATTATTTACAAATTCATTATAGAATAAACTTATTTCTATATAATGATAAAGTAGTTTAAGTAAAGTTTTCATTTACCGTTAAAAATGAGTTGTTTGGGCATGCTAACAGTTTTATAACAATTATACATGCTCTTTGTCACTGTGGTGAACACCTCAATATTTAACCACGATATGTCCACCGACTGTATGGTCTGGTCGAGTCCTACTCCCCCTTTGCCAATCATTCCGTCCAGTTTTTGGACATTCAATTCCGTTACCATTTCCATCGCTATTACCATAATGTTTTTATTACAGTATAGTTTAAACAACAATCAGTAAAATTTAATAATTATTATCTGGATGTAAAAGTGAAAATGGTTTACTATTAGAATAAGGGTAAATTAAATACTAATTAAACTTATAAAAAAGCAACTAGAATGATTATGATTTTTTACAACCAATTACTGAATAACTGAATATTATTAATGCTAATAGTTTTCTGATCGATAATATTTGCTTAAAATTATTGCTATTCATTGCACAGCGTTTTTAATGTTTCAATAATTAAATGATTTGCATTTTATAATAGATATTACGAGAATTATTAACAAGGTCCTTAGTCTTGGTAAATATAATTATTGTTTAATTGAATATACAGTATAATTATTTATTTTATAAATTAACATTTAATGTTAAAAGAATCTTAATTTACTAGTTTCTACAAATTATAACTAGAAACAATAAGTATCCAATGATAAATAAAACATGTTGAACATATTGTATTTGTAATATAATTATTAACTGCATTCTGGTATTAACAACATTTTAAATATAAAATATCGGATATAATAACGTTATTAAATCATTGGCATTAATTAAATCAATAAAAATTGCATCAAAATTATATACAATAAATTAAAAACCAATTTAAGTGTTACTAAAAGTTGTAAGCCTTGAAAGTGGTATTTAAAAGTGGCGCTCATATGATGTGCCCAACACTCGCATTACAGGTCATATTCCCGACACTAGAGAGCCGTCCCATCGCTAACAGAGTCCCACAGTTTGTGAGCCAATGAGCGATGGATTCGTAACGCAATGAATGAATGCATTGAATGAATGAAACGATCAATAATTTTGTCGACAAAACAGTTTTTTTCTGGGATTTTATGTTTGCGTTGAAAACAACACAAAACTCGTTGATATCAATTGCCATCACTTTTGCGAGACATCACCCCATCTGATCCACAGGTAAGGCTCTGTTTATGTGTACACTTATTATCTATTGGTAATTGTCTTGATTTACCACCGATTATAACGACTGCATGCGTTTACTCACGAGTGATGTGTACTTTATTTAACGGCCATTTGTTTGTTTATATGATTGTCGATACATTGGTCAACACATCTGATCCCAAGACGTACCTCTCGAGACAATGATCAGTGACGTACAGCTGGCCATCTTCGCCAACGTGTTGGGCGTCGCGCTCTTCCTTCTGGTGGTGCTCTACCACTACGTGTCCGTCAATAACACCAAATGAATGCCATTTTATTCCTCCACTTCTTCACACACACGTCCACACCATTGTCTTCTTCTATGTCTTCAACACAATAATAGCCAATCATTCTCTCTCTGTCTCTAAATTACGCCAATGATTAGGCAATCACTTCTTCAGTCTTCGCAGCACTTGTTCTCCTTTTAATGGTAAGCGTTGTGTTGTTTTGTTTGTCTTTTTCTGGGTTTCAATGAACCGCTGAAATGATTACTTAAAACCAATGCCTTATATATACAAGAAGTTTGTGGTGTCTTATCATTAGATTCAGTGTTTAGTTATCACTGTTTATAACAACAGTTTTGTGTGTGTTTTCAGTGTCTGTCAAGTGTTTGGCATTTGATTAGTGGCTGTGAAGTGGGAGTGAAACGTGTTTTTAGTCATTATTTTATTGATTTAATTATAATTTAATGAATTGTTAATTGAATTTAATTGAAAATCACAACACATTTTGTTTTCTTTCACTCTCTTTGACAGCACTTTACAAATCCAAAGAGAAAATGTCTTCGTGTGTCTTGTCTTGGATTGCATGTCATGTCCACTGTCTCTACCACTGAAGACATCACTACAATCACTTCCGC